TCTATATTTTAAATCCAAAAGAGTTTGCAATCTCGCCACCGAGACTTCTTCAATCTCTCCTAGTTTTTGCGTTATGAAGTCATGAAAAAAAACGCTTTGCCTCTTGCTTGATTTTTTCATTTGTCTTTACTATAGTTACACATTCACACATTGAACTTCCCTAATAGTGTTTTTCGCTTCCCTGATTTTTACCGAATTGTGGTATGTCTTATTGTTCTGATCACCAACCTTGGAGCCAATAAGCTTGGGAGTACCAAGTCGAAGACACAATAAGCTTAGGTTCTAAAATTCAACTATTTACTTGTTTCTGTTTTAAAGATCCATACTATTAATTTAGGTTCACTTCAATGTTTAAACATATTTTATGTGTTATATTACAATTTGTGCCATTGCATTTTATCCTTCTTTTTAGATTTTCATTAAGGATATTTTAGTCAAAGATTTTAAGACCTAATTCCTATTAATATACCTATTAAATCTCTATCAATATTAATCTATTTAAACAAATATATAATATATATGTATGTTTGAAATGGCCGTGACCTAGCTTGGGTTAGAAACTCGAAAGAATGGATTGAAGAAGCGATTGCAGGTTGAGAAAAAATCGAGATTGAATCAGAAAGAAGAAGAATCAGAAACTCGATAGAAGGGATTGAAGACGCGATGGCAGGTTGAGAGAAAATCGAGATAGAAGAAGAAGAAGAAGAAGAAGAAGCTATAGTTATGGAGTTTGTCAGATTAGCTTAAATCGTCTGGTGTTCAGATTCTTCGGAAATGCGAGTTTCTAAATCCAGGAGGCAGCGTTAAAGATAGAGTCGCTGTGAGGATTATTGAAGAGGTATATATACTATTAGCTCATTTTTTCCGTATTGTTTACTGCAACAATAATTAGCATTTTCATGGTTTCAACTTTTTTTTTAAGTTAGTAGATTTCATCATAAACCTCTCTTCACAATCATCAGCTCCGTTTTATTGTTTGTTTGTTGTTGTTTTAGGCTTTGGAGTCTGGTAAGCTGTTCCCGGGGGGAATAGTAGCAGAGGGGAGTGCGGGGAGTACTGCCATAAGCCCTGCTATAGTTGCTCCGGCATATGGGTGCAAATGTCATGTTGTCATACCTGATGATGCTGCTATTGAAAAGGTTATATTTTTCAAACCACGTTGAATGATTATACACATTCCCGTGTATGCATTATACATGTTCTCAAAGCTTTATCGTGTTGGAGTTATTTTAATCTCAAATACTTGAAACCCTTGGAGCTACCCTCGAGAGGGTGTGGCCGGTGTCAATAACTCACAAATGTCAACATTGCGAGGCGACATGCTGATGAAGCAAATGAGTTAGCAGCAGAGGGAAGACTCGCAAGTGGAGTAAATGGCATGCACCAGGATAATAGTAATGGCTGCACAGTTAAAGAAGAGAAAGAGCCTCTCAGAGTCAGTTACAGGTGGCTTCTTCGCAGATCAATTTGAAAACTTGGCAAATTATAGGGCTCATTATGATGTTACTGACCCTGAAATCTGGCAACAGACTCGTGGTAACATCGACGCCTTTGTTGCTGCTGCAGGTAACAGGCGGTACTTTAGCTGACGTTTCAAGGTTTTGTCAGGTATGCTTAATTAGGGATTATACTTATCACAGCTGTATGAACGAGTAATTGGTATGTCATAAACAAACAAAAAAAAGGCTCATAAATTTTATGTTGCTTTGAACAGGATAAGAAGGAAAGAGTTAAATGCTACCTGATCGACCCTCCTGGGTCTGGTCTGTACAATAAAGTAACAAGGGGAGTGATATACACAAGAGAGGAAGCTGAAGGACTTCGACTGAAAAACCCATTTGATACAATAACAGAAGGGATTGGAATCAACAGACTTACTCGGAATTTTCTGATGGCATAAACATTTGTTTAAGCCCTCATAGATCAAATGAGATGAGAATATATTATTTTCAACTCATAAATATTATTTTTAATAACTCATGAGACAAATCAGTTTTTTAATATAAAATATTGTATTTTAAATTAATAATACATAATTTATTTGATAAATTTTCAACTTTACAGTTTAATACTTATAAAATTTTAATTACAACTTTTATAACACATAAAAATATATAATTCTCATAACCATAAAAACACATTTTAAACTAGACTATAAATTTAATATTTTAAAATATTGGCTTGCACGACAAATAAGAGAAAATAACCAATAAAAAATGAAAATAGGATTAATAAGAAGAGAAAAAAAAAATAATAAGAACACAAATATACAATGTCATCAAATTATGTAGTGTCTACCAATTCCGACATATCCTCTTTTTTGCCAAGATACGTTTATATTCTTATAATTGAATTATAAAAGAAATTAAGATGTTAAAAAATTATATTATTTTTTAATTAAATTGTCAAACAGATAAATATAAAAGTTGAGTTTAGAAAACAATAATAAAGTAAAAAATGAGCAAATTAGTTAAAATAGATTGATTTATTTGTTTAAAAATAGAAAGAAAAAAAGAGAGAAAATAACATACAAACACGGAAAAAACACATAGAAAATGAAGAAAAAGAAAAGAGAATGGAAGAAGAACATAGAATAAAAAGAAAGAAAAAGGATGAGAAAAAATGTAAAAAAAGAACATACATAAAAAAAAGAAAGGATAGAGAAGAAGGAGAAAAAGAACGAAATATAAAGACGTAGAAAAGAAGAGGAATAGTGAAAACGAAGAAGAAGAAGAAGGGGGAAAATGGAGTAGAAGAAGAAAAAAAGGGAGATGAAGAACGGAGAAGGAGGAGAAAAACGGAGAAGAAAAAAGAGGAAAAAGAATTATGGAGAAGAAGAAGAAGAAGAATGGAGAAAAAAGAAGAGAAGAAAAACATAAAATATAAATGAAGAAGAGAGAATAGGAAGGGAGAAGGAGAAGAAAACAAAAACTAAATACAATATTTTTGACCAAGTTTTTTTGGTAATGATCCTGATTAACATAAAATCCAGCTACACACAAACTTTTTTGGGCACGAAGACCCGATCATACCATCACTCAAAATCGTAACTAAACTAGGTGGAACTGAATTCAAATACTGGACACCTTGAGAAAGAAAAAAACATAATTAGCTAATCCATCTGCAAGACAATTAGCTTCTCTATATACATATGAAAAATAGACTATCTAATCCCTCGAAATAAAGCCACAGCACATACTTACCGGGAAACAGATTTTCTTATAACATAATATATAATAAACCCTCTTATTTTACACAGTTTAAACATTTATAAATTTTATTTCATAAATTATATACATGCGCGGATGCACATGTACCTGCATATATTTTTAAATGTTTAATAAACTGACTTTGGTTTAACATATGAACCAAAATAGATTTTGATATGGTGATATTCAAAGATTTTGTTAATATATTAGTCACTAAAATTATGGAACAAGTTTCGCAAATAATATAATGGATATAAATTTAACTGATTAGGTAACTTATTATTTTTGATTACACAAAAAAATCATAGATAGGTAATAATTTTTTTGCCACTAAAAAAAATGATTAGATAGCATAAGGATTACATAAATATATTTGCTATTATAAAATAATTACTCTGTGTGATAAGTCAAAACATCATTATTTAAAAATAATAATCAATAAAAAAAAAATTTCACTCTTATGACATGTTAAAATTTAATAAATGATATATTATACCAAAAATAAACCAAAAAGAAAAAGAAAATAGGAAGAAAAAAAAAAGAAAAAAAAGAAACAACAATAAAACATAAGCAAATTAGTTAATATGAATAAATTATTTGTCTAAAAATAGAAAGAAAAAGAAAAAGAAGGAAAAGGGAAATGAACATAGAAGATGAAGAAGAAGAAAAACGAAGAAGAGGAGAAGAGCATAGAAAAAAAAGAGGAGATGAAAGAGGAAAAAAACAGAAAAAGAAGAACATACATGAAGAAGATGAATGATAGAGAAAAAGAAGAATAAAAACGGAAAAGAAAAAAATGACGGAGAAAAAAAACAAAATATAAGAAAGACGTAAAGACAGAAGAAAAATACAGAAAAAAGAATGATAAAGAAGAAGAATGGTGAAAAAGAAGAATGGTGAAAAGAAGGAAGAAGAATAAGAGAGAAGAAGAAGAAAAACAGAGAATAAAAAGAGAGAGAAAAAGAACAGAGAAGAAAGAGAAAAACGGAGAAGAAAAAAAGATGAAGAAGAAGAACGAGGAAGAAAGAAAAGAAGAAAAACAGATAATATAAACCAAGAAGAGAGAATAGAAAGGGAGAAGGAGAATGAGAAGAAAAAAAACTAAATACAATATTAAAAAACATAAATGTCATATAAAATCAATAATATATTATTATATTTTATAATAACAACTCGCATGTCTACAATATTAAATCAGTTGCATGTAGCTTATATTATTTTGTTTTCAATTTTTTATTTTTATATTTACAAAATTTAATTTTAATACTTATAACATATAAATAAATAATCTATTATTAATATAATTATAATTTTTTGGTAAAGGGGGAGGTGGGGTAGGAGACATTGTCTATTGATTTAATTCAAAACATAAAAACTAGCTATACACAAACTCTTCTTGGGCGCACATAACTGATCGTATCATCACTCAGAATGGAAATTAAACTATGTGGAACCGAATCTAAAAACTGGACACCTAGAGGATGAGAAAAAGCATAATCCATAAGCAAGATAATTAACTTCTCTATACATTTTCTCGAAATAAAACTATGATACGTACATACCAGAAAACAAATTATCTTATAACATAATATATTATAAATCTTCTTATACTACATAATTTAAACATTTATAAAATTCACTTCAAAAATCATATACCTGCACAGACGCACAGGTCCAACATTTAGTAAAACATTAAACTAGTCTTGTTTATAGCCTCTCATCAAAAAAATTCTTTAAGGAAAAACCAGATTTTCTTTAATCATTTGTTGAAAATGGAGTAGTGTTAATTTTTGGCGGATTTAGCTGTATTTTATACCTAATCAGAGAGAATTAACCAAAAAAAATAAAATGAATAAACTCAGGAACAAGGGTTAAGACGCAACGACACTCTTTGCAGAAAAAAATCTGACTTTACAAAGAAACAGTGACAAAAACCTTTTTCAACACTGATCTTCTTCCTCTTCTCTCAAAACCATGGAGCTACTACTATGGCCAACTCTGAAAGATGCAATACATGCTTACACTGGTCTCTCTCCGGTGGTTTTCTTCACCGTCCTCGCCCTCGCCTTCGCCGTTTACCAAGTTGTCTCAGGCTGGTTTGCTTCGCCGTTCGATGATGTTCGCCGACATCAGAGGGCTAGATCGTCGGCTGCAGAGGAGGAGCCACCGATTCATCCGCCTGTTCAGCTCGGTGAGATCACTGAGGAGGAGCTTAAGCAGTACGATGGCTCCGATCCTCAAAAGCCCCTTCTCATGGCCATCAAACACCAGATCTACGATGTGACCCAAAGCAGGTGAATTTTAATAACCCATTTCCCCCAATTTCATCTCCTTTTGTAAGAAATCGTAAAGTTGTTCACTTTCAAAGTTCTTGCAGAACACTTTCCCAAAAAAAGTAATTGAGCTTTTGCTTGGCATAATTTTAAAAAGCTATCCTTTTTTCTACTTCATAAAAGAAAAGGGTTCGTCTTTGTTATATTTATGATAAAACTGCTTATAGATTCAAAGGAAGTTGCAAATCAGAAGTTAATGTCTGCTTTAGATTGGGATGTTACTCATCTTCGAGCTTTTGGTTGGATTTATACATATTGTAACCAATTGATCATCTTCTTGTGATATACACTAGACTGTGTTCTTAGTGTTTGTGTTTGTAATGAAAGGGGTAACCTTTTTTTTTATATTGGTGTGTAGGATGTTCTATGGACCAGGAGGACCATATGCTTTGTTTGCAGGGAAAGACGCAAGCAGAGCTCTTGCCAAGATGTCATTTGAGGAGAAAGACTTGACTTCGGACATCTCTGGTCTTGGTCCCTTTGAGATGGATGCTCTTACGGACTGGGAGTACAAGTTCAAGAGCAAGTATGCTAATGTCGGTACGGTCAAAGTGACCGGATCAGAAGCTGAAGCCGCAACTGTGTCTGAACACCCAGAGACTGGTGACCATGTAACCAAGACTGAGACAACGACCGATGTGGTTAAGAATGATGAGGCTCCTGCTGAGAGTGATGTGAAGGAGTAGATTCCATTTCCTCTACTTACTCCGATTTTGGTCGTAGAGACCCGTTTTATTATCAAAGGATTGTAGAATCTGTGATGTTCAAGTGTCAGTGGTAAATCTTGTTTCATGATCCCAAAAATAACAAGTTTACTGATTAATAAAAGCCATTATAAGCTGCTTAATCAGAAGATGGATGAAAAGGAGAGAGAGAGAGAGAGCGCGTTTACTTTGTTCTTCTTGACTTTTGGGATTGATTAAGATGACTTTTCCACGCTGTATATAAGATAGTCTCAGCTCTCAAGAGACATAGAAATTGTCAAAATAACGTCAAACATGTCTCTATATCAGAAGGCTGAAGAGGAGGAGCCATCGATTCCACAGCCTGTTCAGGTCGGTGAGATCACGGAGGAGGAGCTTAAGCAGTACGATGGCTCTGATCCTCAAAAGCCCATTCTTATGGCCATCAAGCATCAGATCTATGATATTACAGAAAGCAGGTTGACTTGTTTAAATCTGATTTTATAGCTTATGAATTTGTTACCACCTTACCTCAGTTTTGCCTGTTTACTTTCTCTGCCAGAAAAGTTTTAAACTTTCTCCAAATAGAGTTCTTTGAGAATAACTGCCCCAAAAAGTAGTTTACAATTGCAAATTTGATTCTTTCTTGGCTAAACTTTTCTGGGTCAATGAGCTTTTGCCTGGCAAATTTAGAAATTGTATCCTTTTTCTACGTCATACAAGAGAATTACTCAAATGAAGCTGCAATATGTTCTTGTTGTTAATATCTACTGGTGATTTAACTCATATTCAAGCTTTTGGTTTGATGTTTACATAATTGAATTACAGCATAAACAAGGTGATCTATTTTTTGTTGGTTTGTAGGATGTTCTATGGACAAGGAGGACCATATGCTTTGTTTGCTGGCAAAGACGCAAGCAGAGCTCTTGCCAAGATGTCATTTGAGGAGAAAGACTTGACTTCGGACATCTCTGGTCTTGGTCCCTTTGAGATGGATGCTCTTACGGACTGGGAGTACAAGTTTATGAGCAAGTATGCTAAAGTTGGTACTGTCAAAGTGACCGGTTCAGAAGCCGAAACCGCATCTGTAACCGGGAATTTACCCTGATTTGTCACAGAGACCAATTTAAACCAAAGGAATGTTGATATTTTGATGTTGTTGAAATGTCAAATGATAAAACTCTGTTTCATCAATCCCAATAACCATATTTGATGATAATTATAGCTTATTGATTTGATTCCTCCTTTCCTCAGTTTTGTCTGTTTACTTTTTGGTAGAGAAGTTCTTAACTTTCTCCAAATAAAGTTCTTTGAGAATAATTTCCCAAAAGGTAGTTTAATTTGTGGTAACAATTGCAAACTTGATTCTTTCTTGGCTAAACTTTTTTTGTGTAATTGTTGAGCTTTTGCTTGGCATAATTTTAAAGTTGTATCCTTTTTCTGCTTGATACAAGAGAAATATTCAAAGGAAGCTGCAATATGTTCTTGTTGTTAGCATCTATTGGTGATTTGATATTTCTTTCAAAACAATTAAATCAAGAACGTGTATCAAGAACAGTAAATTTTTGTAACATATATAAAAGAAACATATACATATGATGATATCATCCGGTAATTACATAGAAACTCAAAACAATTAGAATCTCTAACACTTTTATTGGAATCTCTAACTCTAACAATATATTACATATATATAAAAAATGAAAATGGTTGTTTTATTTTTTACTTTTCTGATTCCATGTCTCGTCTTCGTGTAAGTTTATATTTGATAATTAAGTGTAATTAAATATGTATACTTTTAGTTATATATTAATATAATAATTAAAACTTTTGGTTTCTGTCCGTGATTAGAAAAAGGACAAGTTTATGAGCAACTTGTTACTGTCAAAGTGACAGGTTCAGAAGCCGAAGCCGCAGAGACTGGTGATCATGTAATGATAGAACCAATGTTGATCAAATGAATGAAACAAGAACATATAGACCAACCCCAATGCAGATCTATAAAGGTCTAATAACAAGGTCTTAGTAATATAATTACATTAAAATATTATGTAGAGTGTCTAATATTTTAGACAAGGGTCTAAAATAGGATCTTTTTTTTTGATTTAAGAATACACAGCTGGCAATATATGAATGGAAAAAAAAAATTTAATACATGAAATGAAAAGAAAAAAACAAAATCTACCAAATATTAATATTTAATCATTAAGACTTCTATACTAATGGGGTTACCATTGGGGTTGCTCTAAAAAAGCTTAAATAAGTACTTTTGGCAAAATTATCTTCATATCTTGATTTCATAATTAACAATGCTTATATAAGTAAGGAGGAAACTAAATACTATATAGAGCAACTGGAGATACAATCCCAATAATGTAGGAGAAACAAAAGCCATATCTTTACTCATATTGGTTTACTTCGGTTAACCGCTTAGTTCTCATCATGTAACAACGACTGAGATGACCGTTGTGGATAAGAATGATGCGGCTCCTGCTGAGAGTGACGTGGAGAAGGAGTAGACTACATTACGGAAATTTACTCTATTTTTGTCATAGAGACCAGTTTAAACCAAAGGAATGTAGAATCCCTGATGTTGTTGTAGTGTCAATGGTAAGCTTTGTTTCATTTCCCCATAAACCATGTTTTTCTGATTAATAATAATGAGACATTAGCATTATAAACTGCTCATTCAGAAGGCGTTTCATTGCAAGATTACAAGGTAGTTGAGTTTATTAATTATTATTTCAAATAATATAAAAATGTTACATTTTTTCATACAAATAAAACGGTTACACCTCCGATGTATCGGTCTCAACGATAGACCGTACCGGTACACAGTTACTTCCCACGGTACAAAAGACTCGCCGGGCAGCGACGTTCTCAAATAGTTAACATTCACATAAAATGAGATGCAAAAACTTGAATATATCTTGTCGATATGATTGAATGGTGGGCCAAGATAAGGCAATAAGCTCACTCGAATCAGATTAGAAAGTAACATCATTGTACCCAGTGTATCCATCCAACTCCACTAACCAACAGGATTCCACATACCATCACTTAACTTCTCTTTGTAGTTCAGTTTAAACTGAGTTTTGGTTAATTAGGGATAAACAAGTTTAGTTTGGTATTACTTTAACGATTTTAAACGGTTCTCAGCGAATTAATGCCATATGGGTTGGACCTAGACTTATGGGCTTAGCTTAAGATACCATTTTCCAAGCTGTCAAGAATCTTATCTCATGATGAATATATTTATTAAGATGTCAACAAGTCTCAAATAGATATTTGAAATCGTCAAAATAAGCCAAACATGCACCAAGATATCAAAGCACATGTACTTATTTATATATCAATAGCATTCTAAACATAATGGACCGTCGAACGACGTGTACTTTTTGTGTTCACTTTATTTGTCTTGAAGAAAAACAAAGGGAAAATAAGATATAAAGAGGCCAAATTTGAACCACGTTGCCGTAGGAGTTTGAGATCTACGAGTCTCAGTCTACGACGACCAAACTAATCGTAAGGAAAGGCTTCAAATTTTGAGGCTCTTATCCAACCAACGCTAACGTAAAGCTAATCTCGTGTGTTCCATTTCCTCCTCCTTTAATGCGATTTCTCTCTGCATAAAAATAAAAGTTATCTTATCGTTTTTCAAAATAGAAAGAAAAAAAAAGAAAATTGCAATTTGATAGTAGATGCGTGCCCATACTACCCTTATCCCATTGCTTCAACTTAAAGGACTGATCAAGATTATAACTAATCAAGGTGTTTGTTTAGGTTATAACTAGTCGTTACGATGATAATGGTTAAAAGTGTTTTTTAGGTCATAGTTTGATAGATTAGGGGTTTGGATTATTCGAACAAAAATATAACTAAATAAGGATTATTTGTTTAAATAATCCGTTTGACAATGCACTAAAAAACACAGGTGTATTGTATCACTTATTTTAAATATTTGTATTAGTTATAATTGATACAAACAAATTTTACATCACTTGTAAAACTGACTCTGAATGTAGTGATGTAAATAATTAACATCAGTTAGCTATCAATTGATGCAGATATATTTTATTTTTGCATCGATTGTTGAAATCAATGTCAATATGTGTCAATTACAAAAAACTGATGTTATCACTTGCATCAATTTTTATAAATGATATTACTATTTGTGATGGTTATAATAAATAATGTTAAAATTATTTTAGTTTAATATTATGATTATATTCAGATGTTAAAAATAATTTATTATTATTATTATTTTTAAAAATATTTATAATAATATTATTATTTTAATTCGAAATTTTATGCATCAATAATTTTTTGATCTTTCAAAAAATTTGAAATAAATTTTATTGGTTAGTCAATGTAAATATAAGGTACTTAAGTTTTGATATATATATACATGTTTTCTCTTTCATTTTTTTATCAACTAGCGATGTGGGACAAAATACAAAAAGTTAGTTATATCAGTTTTAACTGATATAAAATTTATATCATTTTTAAATGATGTTAACCAAAAGTATTGATTACATCGATTATTTAACTGATTGAAATACGTAATTTTATATCAGTTTTATTTAAGTGATATAAACTAATATAAATTTGTATCAATTTTATTGAACTGAAGTTAAATAATCAATAAAAGCATCAATTGTGATAAATAATGTTAAATCATATATTTTGTATCATTTATTAATAAGTAATTTAAAATTTATATCATTTAGTTTTATGATACAATTTAAGTGATGTAATCAATCTTTTTTTTGTAGCGATGTTATTGTGATATGAATCTAATAGTATGCATTTACTTTGTCCGTTATTCTGTGATTCTATCATTAATTTAGTTTTAGTCTGTTATTAGTTTATACTGTATTTTTTTTAATTGTATGACTAATTAGTATATTATTGATCTGTATTTAGTATGCTATTAATCTACATGAAAAAATAGTTATAAGAATAGCATTGATATTTATAAAATATTTGTTATAGAAATTTATTTATACAATTTTTTTTTATCAAAGAGATCTATTTTCCTAATTAATTTTTCATTGTAAATCATTATAGATCGAATACTCAATAAATAAATGCAGCTAATTTGCATATATCTCCCATATAAATTCCTTGTTTATATTCTAGTTGGAAACATTGGGAGAACAACTAGTACCAATGACGTGAATCATGAATGCATGTCCTTTTAAACATAACTTTCACATGTCATGATTAGCAAATTGTATTTATTTGATTTTTGGCTTATAATCAAAATACTATAGTACAGTATGTGGTTTCTTCTTATTCTTCCTATATATGTATGAATTCTTTTTTTTTTTCCAACAATAAACCCCACCTCTTGGCTTATATATACAAACACAACAAACGTACGTAATGTATGTATATGTTAAATAGTTTCTTGTGGACCTAACTACTAAAACAAGTCGTCAAATTCATTCATGGAGGCTTTGCTCTGCTCTGAGATACCCAACAACATCAGAAGATCCTCCATTAACGATCTCTCTTCTTCTTCTTCTTCTTCATATACATGGCCAATAATCATGACCTCTTTTTCATCTCCTACAATCATGGACAGAGACAACATTCCTAGATTCGACTGGGATCTTTCTCTCTCCGCCGTAGTTTCCTCCGCTTCCACCGGATCCGACGCTATTGGAGCAATCGAGTTCGACCCGAGTGGAGAAATCTTGGCGACGGGAGGAATCGCAAGAAAAATCAGATCGTATCGTTTCAGCTCTTGGTTAGGGTCTTCTTCACGTGATGATCGCGTGGAGAGCTGTATATGCACGCCGGCGAAGCTAAGCAGTCTCAAATGGAGGCCCGATTTAACCGGTCGGGTTATCGGGTCGGGAGATTACGACGGAGTAGTCACCGAGTACGATGTGGAGAAGGGAGTTCCTGTTTTCGAGCGAGACGAGCATGGAGGGAGAAGGATTTGGAGCGTGGACTACACTCTCCATAACGGTTCTGTTATCGGCGCGTCGGGATCAGACGACGGGACGGTTCAAATATGGGACCCACGAAACGGAGGGTTGGAGAAAACGGTTAGGCCCGGAGGTGGAGTAGCGGCGGCGATCTGTTCGGTTGAATTTGATCCGTTTGGTGGACCTTTGTTAGCCGTTGGATGTGCTGACCGGAATGCTTACGTGTACGACATCAGAAGAATCGTTGACCCGATCGTTGTGTTAGATGGTCATACCAAAACGGTGACGTATGCTCGGTTTATGGATCAGCACACGATCGTTACCGGTTCGACCGACGGGAGCTTGAAGCTTTGGGACATAGCTAACGGACGGCGTGTGGTTCGCACGTGTCGAGGGCATGTTAATAGTCGGAATTTCGTCGGGTTGTCGGTTTGGAGACACGGTGGTTTGGTCGTGTCCGGTTCGGAGAATAATGAAGTGTTTGTGTATGATAAGAGGTGGGAAGAGCCGGTTTGGGTGCATGGGTTAGGTCAAGCGGAGCGGTTAGGGTGTGACCGGCGGTTCGTGAGTAGTGTGTGTTGGAGACAAGTGGATGAAGACTGGTGCACGCTCGTGGCTGGAGGCTCTGATGGGGTATTAGAGATCTTCTCGGGCCAACGAAGCTAATATATATATATATATATATATTTTTACTTTTTTCAGTTGGTTTTAATAAACTGTCTATATATATAAATCCAACGTGTTACTATTTTGTAACACAAGGTTTGTAAGTGACTGATATTGAAAACTTTTTCAATCGTTGCAATTCGAATACATTGATGAATAACAACCATAACAGGGAATTGAAGTTCGAATACATTGATGAATAACACATTATAACAACGATGAGAAATATGTAATGTTATATAAATAAAATTCCCGATTAAAATCAGTTAAAATCAACTTTCCAAATATAAACTTATGAATCTGATCCAAAAGCTTCACATCTGCATGCTTAGCGGTTAACTAAGCATTGGTAACCCCCTTTTCAGACAGTATCCATACATATATTGATGTGGTTTTTGTAAGGAATGAGTTTTGTTATACATAGAGGAGGAGTATACGATATATATATTGTACATAAGAGATGATTCTAGGTAATGTAAATATAGAAGTGAGAATAGAAGAGGATATGCAATAACTAAGGAGTATATACAGTTTCTTTGTGTCCTTTACACGCCCTCTCAAGATGGAGGGGCTGTGCGACTCCAATCTTGTTTCTCAGCTTAAGGAAGCGTGCTCGTGGTAATGGCTTGGTGAGTGCATCAGCGAGCTGATCTTTTGTTGTTACATGGGCCACCCGAAGCTTCCCGCGTTGAATGTGACCACGAACAAAGTGGTAATCAAAGGCGATATGTTTTATTCTGGAATGGAACACAGGGTTAGCGCAGAGAAATGTTGCGCCTACATTGTCGCAGTATATCACCGGAGACGTAGAGAGAGTGACACCAAGCTCAGTTAACACGTTACAAATCCATCGAACTTCAGCGGCGGTATGAGCTACAGCGCGGTACTCTGCTTCAGTGGAGGATCTGGCAACACCCTTCTGTTTAGTTGATGTCCAAGAGATAGGATGACTACCAAGATAGATTATGTAGGCGTTGGTGGAAACATAGTCATCGGAGTCTCCCGCCCAATCGGAGTCAGAGAAAGCGTGAAGAGTGAGAGAGTTATTGGCAGAGAGGAAGATACCGTGAGTTGTAGTTCCGGCAAGATATCGAAGAATCCGCTTTGCAGCTTGCCAATAGTCGTTTGTGGGGCGATGCATGAACTGGGAGAGCCTATTCACGGCGTAGGCAATGTCGAGCCGAGTAAACGCAAGATACTACAGATTTCCGATAAGTTTGCGATAGTCTGTGGGGTTATCCAGAGAAGTGCCAGAGAAGAGGCTCAGCTTAGGGGATGATGCCATCGGTGTTGTCACTGGTTTTGCATCACTAATATTGTAACGGTGGAGAAGATCAATGATATACTTCCGCTGAGATAAATGCAAACCGTTGGAAGTGCGATGTGCTTCGATGCCGAGAAAATAATAGAGGTCCTCCAGGTCTTTGATGGAGAAGCGGTCCGCCAGGAGGGATAGAATTCGTGTAATATGTAGTTTGCTGCCGCCAGTGATGAGAATATCATCGACATACACCAAGAGGTACAGATGTGCATCGCCAGTGTAAAGTGTGAACAGAGAAGTGTCCGCGAGAGAATTTTTGAACCCGAGAGTGAGAAGAAAGGTCTTTAACTCTGTATACCAGGCCCTTGGGGCTTGCTTTAGCCCGTAGATAGCTTTCTTCAATCGGCAAACGTGTGTGGGGTTATCTTTGTCGATGAATCCCGGAGGTTGCTCCATGTAGACCTCTTCCGTCAACGTCCCTTGAAAGAACGCGTTATTCACGTCAAGCTGTTAAATCGACCATGATTTAGAGATTGCGATGTCAAGAACTAAGTGAATCGTAGTTGATTTTATGACTGGGCTGAATGTGTCTGTGTAGTCTCTACCCAATTGTTGGTTGTAGCCCTTGGCAACAAGTCTGGCTTTGCACCTGTGATGAACACCATTAGAGAGAAATTTGTTCTTAAAAACCCACTTACAGCCTATGAAATTCTTGTTTGGTGGATGAGGAATGAGTTCAAAGGTCTGATTGATAGCAAACGCGTCAATTTCGCCGGACATTGCCCCTCGCCAGTTCGGGTCTTTCATCGCTTGATTCACGGTTACAGGTTCTGGTGGGATATTTGGGTATAAGACTGCAGATTTCGCGTATTTGGGATTGGGTTGTACGATGTTGTCTTTCCAACGAGTTTGCATCTTGTGTTTGTTGTTGGGATTTTGAACAAGTACGGGTGGAGGTTGCGAAGAAGATGATGGGAGAGAATGGGGATTCGATGGTTGGGCTTGTGTTTGATCAGGTGTTGGTGGATTTGGGCTTTGTGTTTGGTTTGATGTCATCGGGGTTGGGCTTTGAGAGTTGTTGGATTGGGCCGGAGAGATATTATTTGGGCCTGGGTGGTTTTGTATGATGGGTGAGGGTGCGTTGTCGTTTTGGTTAGTGGTCGAGGTATCAGGTGTAGGGTCTTCTTTCGGTGTCGATTGCCCTGCATCTAAGATCGAGTTAGAATTGTTACCTTCAGACGACACAGACGGGTTTGAATCTGAGCTCGTGGGTCCCTGGTGAGATAACGACGACTGTTGTAATGGCGCAGGAGTGGGGGAAACTGGTATGAAGTCCGTCGGTAGTGTGAGGAGAGGTGAGAGAATCGGAGGTGAGGGTGATGGTGGTTGACTGAGATATTGAAAAGGGAAGGAGGACTCATCGAATTTGACATGTCGGGAGATATAAATCCGGCCGGAGCTTGGTTGAAGGCACAGATAGACACTCTGAGTGAGAGAGTATCCGATGAAGACACACGGGGTTGAGCGATTTTGCAGCTTGTTGGTGTTGTAAGGGCGTAGCCAGGGAAAGCAAAGGCATCCGAAGACCCGTAGTTTGGCGTAGTTCGGAGGCGTTGCGAAGATTTTCTGAAACGGAGACTCCATCTTGAGTATCGGTGTGGGAAGCCGATTGATCAGGTAGGTAGCGGTCACAAAAGCATAAGTTCAGAAGCTTTTCGGCATGCTAGCGTGAGTGAGAAGAGACAGACCTGTCTCCACGATGTGCATGTGCTTTCTTTCAAAGATGCCGTTATGTTCTGGAGTGTGTGGAGGCGACGTGAAGTGAGAGATACCAGAGGCTGCGAGGAATATTTGTAGAGCAATGTACTCTCCGCCGTTGTCAGAGTACAGAGTCCCGATCTTTGTATTGAAGCGATTCTCCACCAATGCTTTGAAAGGTTTGATCATGTCGATTACTTGGGATTTGGTTTTAAGAGGGTAGAGCCAAGTATATCTGGTGTAGTGGTCGATTAGGATAAGGTAATATTTGTAGTTGTCACACGAGATAACTGGAGAGGACCAGACATCTGTGAAAATATATTCGAGGGGTTTGGTGGAGCGAATAGAGGTTTGGTAAAATGGTAGTTTATGACTTATTTGTGGAGCAATCAGTACAAAGAGAATGTGGTTTGACAGATTGCGAACATGAAAGAGAGAAATTTGAGATGACTTTATGAAGGATGGGAGATGATGGGTGGCCAAGGCGACAATGCCAGTCTGTGTAGGTTGGTTGTGAAGGTGAGGCTGCAAAGAAGGAGGCTGCGGTTGCTGCTGAGACTGGCCATTCATACAGTTCGCCGTTAGTTTTGCCGTGGAGCAATGGGACCCCCGAGCTGAGATCTTTCACCTGAAAGTGTGCTGGGAAAAATTCAACCGAGACCTTATTAGCATTACACAATCGATACACAGAGACAAGGTTTTTGTGAATATGAGGAACACAAAGGATATTATGTAAGAGGAGTTTGCGAGTGGAAGAGGGTAGAGATTGTGAACCAATATGCGAGATAGAAAGACCTGAGCCATCGCCGATGAGGACTGTGTCATCACCGGTGTAAGGTTGGTGTACGGCGAGATTGTTGAGATCGCTTGTCATATGGTGAGTCGCCCCACTGTCCATAATCCATGAGGTCGATGGATCGTGAGTCCCAAGAGCCAGATTCGCAGCTGGCTGCCAGGGACGTGATGCATTGTAGCCTGAATTATTGCGGGGAGCAGATGACGTTTGAGGAAGTTGGGGACATCTCTTCGCACTATGCCTGTATACTCCACATAATTGACATTTGCCTTGGTATCCTCGAGTGAGGCGATTGTCATGCTTCTGATAGTTCTGTGATCTTTGTTGTGAGTTGTTGTTATTGCTCCATAGTTGATTGTAGCGCTGAGGCTGCCTGTTGGAATTGTTGACAGGGCGAGTGTTGGCAAAGTTTGCTGTAACAGGAGTGTCAACTGATGCAGAGGACATAGAGAGCAGTATAGCTTCGCGATTGAGAAGTTTTTCATGAACTTCTGTAACAGATGGAGGAGTGTCACGGCCTTCAACTTGCTCTGTCACAGCCTTGTAATCTTCAGGTAATCCTTCCAGGATGAATTCAATCTGATCTTCGTGGTCGATGGGCTTCCCTAGCAGAGCAAGATGATCAAATCTTATAGTGAGGTCCCAAATGTATTCGTCAATTGTCTTAGTCCCTTTCGACCAATGCTTTAGCTGATGTTTAAGTTTCTTAATGTGTCCTCTGCTAGGTTTGGCGTAAGTCGAGGCTAGTGTTGATCAGATCTCAGAGGAGGTGCGAGCAGTCGAGAGGATATGTTGAATGGTGAGAGAGATTGTTTCGAGGAGGCCACTGAAGATGAGACGGTCTTGGCGTTTCCAAAGTGAAAATGCTGGATTCGGAGTAGGAACGTTGTTGACGTTGACCGTGAGTGGTGGTTGAGGAATGGATCCGTCAAGGTGGCCAGCTAACTCATAACCATCGAGCAAGGCATGGATTTGAAGACTCCACATCATGTAGTTGTGAGAATCGAGTTTGGTGATGTTGGACATGTTAACGTTGAGGATGGTTTGTGCAGCGACGTTAACAACATCGTTAGCAGCCATGGTGGTGAGAAGAAGAGGTAAAAGGGCAAAGAAGAAAAAAGAAAGAGAAGAGAGTGAGGGAGGTGGCGGAAAAATTTAAGTTTCTAGAGCTTGCTCTGATACCATGTAAGGAATGAGTCTTCTTATACACAGAGGAGGAGTACACGATATATATATTATACATAAGAGATGATTCTAGGTAATGTAAATATAGAAGTGAGAACAGAGGAGGATATGCAATAACTAAGGAGTATATACAGTTTTCTTGTTGTGTCTTTTACAGTTTTAAGACATTTTAAAAAAAAAAAAACTTATGTAGCTGTTGACAA